TTTGAAGGACGGGGCAAGTAAAAACATCCTTAGTCCTTCATGCTACAGAAACCAGGAAAACCTTTGACAGTGTGTGTCATGTTAGCTTACAAGTTAGTGTTAACTTTTCCGATACCTTTTCAAGAAATCCTGGAGATTCCTTAAGTTTAGGTCTGCCTGAAAATTTCAGATAATTTTCTCTATTTTGAGGTGAACTGTGTTGGGGTCTTTGCTTTCAGGCGACGCGTCTGCCTTCATAAGCTCATGGTAACTCTGTGTGAAAGAGGACAAACTCAGCAACTGATAGAGTATCCCTTCATCAACCTACAAGACGAGGTAAATGCAGATATGTCGGTAAATAACTGGAACAATCAAGCAGACAGATAGCCAGCCAAGTAGTCATGTTGTAATATTTTTGAGTAGTCCGTGACCTATTAAGTGTCATGAATGACGATTATCCGGACTGTCGAAGATCTTTTTGTAGAAGGTGCTTTCCGCGTTGTTGTTTTCAGCTACGTTCAATTGCTTCTAAAACCCGATTTGAGCATGGAAACTTTTATCCTCCGATCTCTTGAATTAGTACAGAGAGATAGACTGACTGACAGACAGACTTGCAGAGAGACCGATCCGTGATCCTCACCTTTCCTTGCTGTGTTTGTATTTAGTTTGTAGATATCATGGAGTCTCACGCCCGTACGGTTGACATAACAACCCATAGCTACTATGATTTGTTGTACGCTTTCCACGTATTCAGGGGAAATTATAGAAAAGGTACGAACATCAAATGACATGCGTTACATGACATTTTAGCAATAACCTGGTTAGTACTAATTTCACGTACATTGTTAGCAAGCGTTCTGAGTGTAGTTACGAAATGTTTCCCATGTTTTAAAGAATTAGTTAAACCTAAATTTGTCAAATTCGTCGTTTGTAATCCGTGTTTATCCTTCTCCATCCTTTTCCTTGTTCCTTTATGGTTTGTTATTATCTCTTTAGTGTTTGTCTATCTAAGTAAACTATTATTTTCAGGTTTCCTTCAATTTTTATTAATAATGCTTTAGAAATACACAGGCAAGTAAAAACAAAGGATAGAATGTTTCGACGTTTCGGCGACCTCATGACGCCATTATCAAGGGATGAATGAAAAAAAAGAGCTAGTTCAAAAGAAGAAGTATTTATTTAACTTAAGTTCAATTTATGTAAATGTATAAATCTCTTTTGAACTCGCTCTTTT